CCTACTCCTACTGTCCTACTCCTACTCCTACTCCTACTCCTACTCCTACTCCTACTCCTACTCCTACTCCTACTCCTACTCCTACTACAACTACAACCACAACAACAACAACAACAACAACAACAACAACAACAACTACTACTACTACTACTACTACTACTTCTGCGACCCTCAACTTGCAAGCCCTGTCCGAACACAGTGAGGAGGCTTGTGTGAGTATGTTTGGGACTTAGGCATCTTGCCTACTCAGCCTACACCCAAAGTAGGACAAGTTGCGCTGACATGCAGAACGGCTTTGCAACATGTGAGATAAAGCGAACTCCTAAGCCAATACCATGTGAACCTTAACCTGCCGGCAAGTCAGTCAACTCTGAACCTTTCTAGTAGTATAGTCTAGTATGACTCTAGTAAGGAGCCTTAGGACTATACTAGTAGTATCAGGCTTCTACATCAAACCCAGCAAGGCACCTTCCCTATGGGCTCTGGGAACTTAGATGCCGATTTTTTCGGTGACTGTCCCCGGGCCTTAGCTACAGGTGCATGTATGGCTAATTTAGGGGCCTTAATAATTAGAATGGGGTTCTGGGGCCTATTATACTAAGTTACTCTATTTATAGTAAGGAACCCCCAAACTAGTATAGGTAATTGTTTAGGCCCCTGCATTACATTATACAATGCCACGACTATGTATCTAAACGCCGAAGTCTCCTGTATGAATGAAGCAACAACCCCTCGAGAGCCCCCCCGAGTACCCACAAGTTGCCCAGCTTCTGACTATAACTTGCGTTCTACTCTCTAAAGCTACTCCGTGAAAGCTGGAGGTATATTCCATAAAATGTCACGTGTAATCAGCTATTGGGCTTTTTGGGCAATCAAACCCTAAACCCCCAACACCTCAAAACCCAAACCCGAAACCCCCCAAACCCAACGAAACCGAAACCCTAAAAACACAAACTCCGCACAACCTCAAAACCTAAACCCTCAACCCCAAATCCAACAAAACATCGAAATCTAAACCCTAAACCCCCAAACCCCACAAAACCTCCAAACCTAAACCCCAACCCCTAAACTCTAAAATGGGCAGAAGCCCAGAATCTGCGAAAGAAGCGGCTTGGCGTAGCCAGGCCTTGAGCGAAGAGCTGTGAGGACCGGGAAATTTCGGGCTTACGGCTAGATAGGGTCAAAGGGCTTAGGGTCAAAGGGTTTAGGGTTTATGTAGGTGTTTGTGGGCTCTATAGATTTTACGTTTTAGTTTGTTTCTGTTTGTTTCAGCTGTTTTTGCTCCCCTGGGCATTTTCGGATCAGAGCCTTACGGACCCTAAACCCCAAACCCTAAACCTAGGGTTCAAGGGTTTCGGGGTTGTGGCTGGCGGCTTCAGGGTCCCAGAGCTGAGGGTCAGGGCAGCCTCTGCTTGCCTTGCACGGTTTAGGGTTTAGGGTTTAGGGTTTAGGTTTAGCTTGGAGCTTGGAACCATCAAGCAGTCAAACACTGTTCGACCCCTCGAGCACATCGCATTTCATTAACATTTACTGATAGGCCTACCTGCACCACAAGCGGACGAAGTGAGTTATCACTTGTCAGTAGGGGGTGATTGGTATCCTGATTTGGGTCATACAGCTAGGGTTTAGGGTTTAGGGTTTAGGGTTTAGGGTGGTCTGCAACCGTAAACCGTCAAACCTCATAGAATAAACCCTCATGGCCTGTCGGCTCTGAAGTGGAGTTTAGGGCGTATGCTAGTACCCTACACCCTAGACCCTAACTCACAGCCGCACATATACAGACTGCGAAGTATACCCTCATAACCAATCCAAAGCTCGACGCGGAGTCCCATAGTCCAGGAGTTGCATTGCCAGCTCCTGTCAGGTTCAGGGCTTGGGAGGTCGGGGTTGCGGTTATTTGGCATGGCACTTGAGGTTTAAGAGTTCATGACTGCGGCTTGCAAGTCAATTATCTCGGGGTAGTGTGTAAGGGTCTTGCTCAGACTGTAACAAGCAGCGGTAAACTCCCGAAGCAGAACTCATCCAATTATCTACTGGCTATGACGGCTATGAAACATCAAGCAAACCTCGAAGTACCCCTGATACCCACAGAACTGAACTCCAAAGGCATAAACGCTCCAATTCAGATAATGGAATGGCGCATCAGGCTCTTGAAGTCACAAATGGTCTCTAAGCCAGAGACTCCAATACACCTTAATTAAGGAATATACCTTAAATTATAGTAGGATCCCTAATAAGATTTAAGGTATATTCCTTAACAAAGGGGTATTGGAGTCTCTGGGAAGCCCTTCCACAAACCGAAAGCCCTCGCCGCTCCCCGGCTGCAAGCTTGCTATGCAGGTCGAAGCGGGCCTGCCATTCATCCAGGCAAGTCACCAGGGACTCTGAAACCACTTTAAATAAGGAATAGACCTTGAACCATATTAGGGTCCTATAAGTTCCTATTATAATTAAAGGGATTTCCTTTATTGGGTTCCTATTAGAAAGGGATATTCCTTAAGTTACGGAGCTTTGGAGTCTCTAGGTCAGAAGGAGCCGAGATAGGTAACCTTGCGAGGCGTTTAGGGTTCAGGGCCGGGGCTTCGGGTTGAGGGATCCCACACCCTCGTCTATGTAGGGATAGGGATTTCAGGGGATTTAGTGGATTTTAGGGATTTAGAGGATTTTAGGGATTTAGAGGATTTTAGAGGATTTAGGGGGATTAGGGGTTTAGGGTTATAGGCTTTAGTCTAAGTGCTTAGTCGCAAGGGAAGCTTGGAACTTGGCAACGTGCGTTGCTAGCAATGACCCTAGATCAACGCCTTCGTACAGCCCACGGTCCCGAACACTGAAACGTCATCGCTAATACTAGTGACGTCAGGGCTTTTAGGGTACGTATTCCGTCCCGCCATTCGGTCGGCTCGCGAAAACTGATCCAGTGTCGAAAAACCCACCAAACCCTAAGTCAGGGGATTGGGTGGAAAGATAAGAGAATCCTCAAATATCAGCGCTTTACTATGTTTAGGCACTGGAGTTCAAGGTGTAGAGAAGTTGTAAAGTCTTGCACAGAAAAGGGACTCGAAGTGTCTGTGCAAGATGATGCAGATTTTGGGTCTGCAGGGTCTGCACATGTATGAGGTGTGTTGAGAATCAGGCTTACTTCGAATTAGGGGCTCTCACTTTAGTACACTCGCACAGGTTTACCAGGTGCTGGTGTCACTTCCCTCTTCGTGGCATTGATTCTACCATTCACCCTAGAAGCGGAATACTGGCAGTGTTACTCACTTGCTAACGGGATTTAGTCGCAACTCCTACAACGTCAGAAAATCTGACCTAGACAGCAACATCCCTTCTTGTTTCCTATCCCGGCACCTTCCCCAAATCCTGAACCCCAACATCAACAACCTTAAACCCACAGTCTTAAACCTCAACCTGATCCACAAACCAAGTCCCTAAACCTTAATCCCTGCATAGTCCCAAAATCCAATGGCCACAAACTCGAGGGATCCTAATTAAGTACCCACATCGACGAATCTCAGTTTTCTATAGCAAGAACTACTATCCTGGTGTGGGTAGGTCTCCCCCAGATTGGAACCTAAACCCCAAACCCGCAAAGGAACCCTTAGAGGGGCCCGGCACGTAGCTACTTAGACCCCCTTTGAAAAAGCAAAATGCCCCTTCCCACCCGTGAACCCTGAACCCAGATAGCTACTAAACCCTAGATCCCAAACCCTAAATCTTAAACCCTAAAATCCTAAACCTCTAAACCTCAAACCCATATCACAGCTACTTTGGACCCTGTTGAAAAAAAGTGCGACCAATCCCTAAAATCCTAAACCCTACACTCCTTAAACCCATAATATTATAGCTCCTTAGGACCCTTTGAAAAAAAGCAGAACCTAAATCCTAAGCCCTAAACTGCTTAACCTTAAGCCTTAAACTTATAACTCCTTAGGACCCTTTGAAAAAAAGAAGAAAAGTGCCCTTTCCCGCGGTGGACCGGAGTCAAGGGCTCCGCGTATCCGAAGCGGAAGGTGGCGCACCATAAGCCTGGCGATGAGGGCTTATATAGGGCCCCCAAAAAGCACATAAGCAAAAATCAAGATAGGGATATCCCATATAAACCCCCTTATAGGTAGGGATATCCCTATAAAATACTTATGCTTATGTCCTTTTGGGGTTCCTAATTATAGGGTTTAGATGGGGTTTAGGGTGTATAGGGTTGAGATGGGTGTAGGGTTCAGGGTTTCGGGTTCAGGGGGGTTTGGGGTCGAGGGTTCAGGGTTCAGGGTTCAGGGTTTAGGGTTTAGGGTTCAGGATTTAGGGTTTAGGGTTCAGGGTTTAGGGTTCAGGGTTCAGGGGTAAGGGGTCCCGCAGAAGCTCGTACAACATCGTGTCTGCAAGGATTCCTTTCAGGGAATGATGGTATGGAGGGCTGTGGGATGTCCATCAGGTTAGGGTATAAAGAAGGAGGGAACCCCGATCAACAAATTGAGGAGCTGTCATTACAGATTAGGTGGGATCGTGCAGTCTCTGGGCACCGGAAGATCCTCTGATGTTATATAGCCCTCAGCTGTGACGATGGACACTTCAGGTGCAAAGGGCCTACAGAAACAGATCCTCATCCTAGGAGGCCAGAAACTACGTACCCCGAACTTAAGACAGACACTCCCAATAATCTTGCACCTTAAGCCCGCCTCTCCGAACAAGAATGCTGGACAAGGGGGCAATGGTGGGTCGATACTTCTGACAGATGTGACTGTGTAAACAGAACCCAGCCGACGGCTGAGGCTACGGACACTGCTTAGATGCGCTCAACCAGCGAGCTAAAACCGATCGAAGTACACTTTTTGGAGAAAGGGGTGATGCAGGTAAGCCATAGAATCCTACATAAACCCTGTCGAGCCTCAGATCCGACGTTCGCAAAGCCGTAAACTTGTAAATTTGATTAATTGGGTTTTTCTTTTTTAGAAGTAGAGTAGAAGTTTTGAGTTTAATGTTTGTAGGACTCCTTTAATTAGTAACACCGAGCCACCCCTCAAGCAAAAACAAAAAACAAGTGAAGGTCTGGCCACAAGGAGGGTCTCGCAAGTCCTGGCCTAAAGATTGATCCTCCGCCGAGAAAAGGACCCGCTCAGATTCCAGCACGAAAGGCTCGTCACTGTATTCCTGGCAGAAATGACGCGTTCAGGAGAAAACCTAACCCCCCAAAACCTGAACCCTAACCTCTCGAAGGGTATAGCCCATAGGATAGGGTTTAGGGTCGAGGTAGTCTTCATGTGCTCGTTTTCGGGTCCCTCCGCAACTTGAAACAAATCTGAACACGTGGTCGGGCCAAGGCTCAATGTGCAGCAAAACGATCCTGGGACAGGGCGTTTGTTGGGCGTTGGGGTTGAGGGTTTACGGGTTAATGTAGGGTTTAGGGTTTGGGTTTCGGTGTTCAGAACCTGAGGCTTAGGATTTTGGTTTCAGGGCTTGGGGTTCTGGAGTTTAGGGCTCAAGGTTGAAGTGCCCTGTAGCGGTGCTTCCAATGTATGGTTGCAGACCACTACTTCTACTTCTGCGACCTGCTCCGCTGCCTACTCTCCCTTGTCGATGGGGCAGCTGTGACAACGTCGCAATCGCTTCTAGAGATTCTAGTGCCTCCCCTCTTTTTTTACTTCTGCTACTGAGATGCTGCCGATGATGATGGTGATGATGACGCTGCTACTGCTAAAAAGCAGTATAATCCTCCGCTAATATAGGCCCTTAACAGGGTCCTGCAGTAAATCACTGCATGATAATATGGTAAAGAACTCTCAGGAATACATACTCTAGCACTCGTAATTAGTATTCAGGCTTCCAAATTGCTTGTTCTCACCGCGGCACGTTGCCGGCAAAGCACCGAGCTTGGTTGCAATGGTGGCAAGGCCCACCGGCACGCGCCCCGCTCCTCGGCGATTGCGGGGACCAAGGTTTGGGGTTTGTGGTTCCCAGAGACTCCAATATTCCTTAATTAAGGAATATTCCTTAAATTATAGTAGGATCCTTATATGATTTAAGGTATATTCCTTAATTAAGGGATATTGGAGTCTCTGGGTTTGGGGGGTGTCAGAGCCGGATGTGGGGTTAAGGGCACCCAACATGGTATCCCATGCTAACCTCAATCCCCTTACGCCCCCCACAAGCTCGACCCCAGGTCCAAACACCAAAATGTTGGGGATTCGTGGCAAGGTTTCTGAAAACACGTAACTATGTTTAGGACTTAGGGTTATACTCAGAATGATTTCTACTTGGACCCACAAAGCACGAAAGCAGGGTTGACGAAGTGCCGCTTTGCACTCTCTGCCCCAACTGCATCTACGGGCCGGAGAACCGATCCGTAAGACGGCAGAGCTCATGCAAACCCAACACATCGAAGGACATAGACCCGACCAGGAATGCAAGCACAAGAAAACTCAAAGACACTCAAACCCTACATCAAAAAACGACCTCAAGTGCTGTCTGCGCACACCAATCACGTCTCCTCTCGAAACAGTCCCGCTACTACCACACATACTTCGTGTCCCCGACACCCGCTCGGGTCTAGGTCTTTTGGGATGAGTTTAGGGGCCTCAGGAACGGGTTCAAGAAGACTCATCACTATACCTTTCTTGACTCGCCCGGATCTAAACACCCTACTTCACCTTGACAAACCCGAAACCGAAATTAAGCCTAAACCCTCGAAGCCCCAGACATTACCCGCCGCCTGTAGCCCCAAACCCTACAAAGAATGTCATGATACCATAATTACAGGATGTGACTCCTAGAAATGACAGGTCAAGGGATCCGCATGTACTGTGGCCATTCATCTCCGAAACCAAAGAAACAGTGCCGAGATACTGGGTGTCAGGAAGACGGCAGTGCCTCAAGAGGCTAATCAGCATCCTAATCCGACGGTGTTGTTTTTTTCCAGGGTTCGTAGAAAGGGTTCCGTCAGGCGCTCCTGTATACCGGAAAGAAGTACCATAAAGCCCATCCGAAAGCCTGATTCGTAGACCCAAAATCCCACAAAGCAACGCTCCCGGATAGGATTCAACCGATCTATATATATATATATATACATATATATATATATATAGCTTACGCATGGCAGTCACCCTCACTTTTCAGAAAGAGTTTCGAGCTGCTTCTGGCAGGCTGCCCTCTACCCGTGTGTTGTTTTCAACCGACTTAGCATCATCTCGGCTTGAATCGCTTCAGCGCGAACCTTCCTTTCCACCTCGAGTGTGGGTGTGGGTGTGGGTGTCGGTGTGGGTGGGTTGTGCGTATGCAAATATGCACTGAACCTTCTTAAGACCCTCAGCCCTCAAACCTACTTTGACCTTACAATAACCCCCCACCCTAAACCCGTGGACGCTTCCTTTAATGCCCAGTCCTGTAAGCCTTACGCAGGGAAGCCTCCCACCTGCGAACAAAAGTTTGTAACATCGTAAGTAGGGACTGGGTATGTAGTGGTTTAGGGTTTAGGCTTTGGGAGTTTAGGGTTTAGGGCCTAGGGTTACGAGGATTAGGTTTCAACACTTTGCACTTATGTGCTCTTTCTGAGTTTGCCTCCCCCACACAAGATATTCTACAGCAACAATCAGCAGTAAGCAACCCAACGGGCCCCTAAATCCTAAACCCTAAAATCCTAAACCCTACACCCTAAATCCTAAACCCTACACCCTAAATCCTAAAATCCAAAATCCTAAACCCTAAAATCCTAAACCCTAAACCCTAAATCCTAAATCCTAAACCCTAAACCCTAAATCCTAAACCCTACACGGCCCTACACCCTAAATCCTAAACCCCAAAAACCCCAAGAGCCCTGAACGAGTTGCATCTCGGGAGCTCTTCGTTCGCAGGAGCTGCCCTTGCCGCAGAACATTTTTCAAGCCTCCGATAGCTCCTAAGGAACCTTAGGGTTCAGGGGTTTAGGGTTTGGAATTAGGGTTTTAGGTTTTAGGTTTTAGGGTTTAGGGCTTCGGGTTTCGGGCTTAGGGTTTAGGGCTTGTAGGGTTTAGGGGTTTAGGGTTTGGGCTTCGGGTTTTCGCTTTTAAGGGACAGGGACTAGGGGAAAATACTGCCTACATCCCCCGAAGGGTGGCTATGACCAGAGGCCCGAGGGCCTACGCATTTAGGATTTAGCGTTTAGGGTTTAGCGTTTAGGGTTTAGGGTTTTAGGGTTTAGGGTTTAGGGTTTAGGGTTTAGGGTTTAGGGTTTAGGCCTTCGGGTTTAGGGTTTTAGGTTTAGGGATTTGCCTTGCAACTAATCTTTGAATGGAGGATTTAAGCGATTAAGGCTGGTGAAACTCGAAAGCCGAGGCATGTCTACTTGTGTTTAATCGGCGTTTGGTTCTCCTGGTTCTTTGTCGACAGTTTGAGCTAGTTAGGGTTGGGAGATTGCGGCAGAGGGATCTGTCAAGCTACCAGACAGACTATGTAAAGCTATTATGAAGCAGCCGTTGTATCAGTGGTGAGTGGTGGTCGAATCCCTATAGCTCCAACGCCACCACCAACGTCAGACAACTCCGAAACAAACAACCCCAGTCAACTCTGCCAAGCATTTGATTTTCCAAACATATGAATAAAACGCAGAAGCCTCAATAAACTGTGAGGGCAACCGCCGAAACCCGACTTTGTGCATGCAAAATGCGTTGTGTAACCTCTTGGCTCAGCCAGAGCGCTACGACCACAACCCTGTAGAATTCTAAATTCTCCTGAAACCTACAGCCCCAATTCCTTAAACTTTGAAGCCCGAACTCAAACCATTGAACCCAGATCCTAAGCCCGAAATCCTAGATGTAAACCTTGATTAAGCTTGAAGCCCCAAAACTCAACAAACCACAGACCCAGGACCGCAAAACCCGAAACCATGAACTGCTACATGTGAACCTGAAATCAAAATATTTCCAAAGCCTCAAAGCCCCCAGCCTGAAACCCTAAACCCTGAACCCCTAAATCATAAACCCCTAAACCCTGAACCCCTAAACCCTAAACCCTTAAACTCAGCACCTGGAACCTGGTAGCTCTAAACCCTTTCGCCCAGGAGCCCTGCAAGGTACAAACGCTGAGGCCGAGCCTCCTCTGCTTTCGCTTTTTCGTGGGGTGGTCTACATATTGTATCTTAGGGCTTAGTGTTTATTGTTGTGCCGTGCTTTCAAAGTTGCTTGTATCATATCTTCTTGCTCTGCAGTGCTTAGTGCTGCGAGCTTTTCTTTGCGAAGGCTTTACAAGTGTTCCAAAGGTGTTGCCACGGTTTTAGCAGGGTTTGGTGTTTGTATTGAGGACAAGGTTCAGGGGGCCAGGGCTCTGTTGAAGGAAATCCTAGCGCATAGGCCTGGAAGGTTTGCGGGATCTATTAATGCCACAGTGTGGGGGTTTAGGGTTTGGGCTTTGTGTAGAGCGCTTGCTTAGGATTTAAGGACTGGCCGTCAAGTATCGGACTATATGGCGCCACTTTAGAACCATCAGCCCCTAATCCTGCGCCTTTCGCACTTTGCAGTGACCTATTAAAAAGCTTCACACATGTCTTGGACTTCGGGCTCAGGGTTGAAGATTGCCTTAAAGAAACCTGCCCAGTTAAGACTTGGGGAAACCTCCTGCAGCTGCAAAGCTTAAAGTCTTTAACTCGAAACACCAAATCACCAGGAAATCCCTCAGAAAGTCGCAACCCCAACTTAGGTATCCCTATATACCCGCTGGAAGACACTGGTAGGACGCACAGCCCCGAGAAACCATCCGAATCTGGGATATGTGAAGCCTTCCCTTTCCTGAAAACTCCATTAAGTTCGAAGTCTACTGCAACGCAGAAATATCTGTTGGTAGTGGGAAATCCCTGAACCCTAAACAAATGTTGATTTCTTCTAAGTGTCTGCTGCGAGCACATCTTCGACATTTCGTCTTCCTCCTCCTTCGAAGCAGGAATTTGTAAAGCTTGAACCAGAGGCTTAACCCTGGACCCAACATACCCCGACCCTGAGCCGACGTTTACATGTACTCATTGCTGCTCCGTATGTCAGGATACATTGTGGTGTTGTTTAAACCCCAATGAGCCCACACTTTTTAACCACACCGCTGGCTCTTTGGAGGAACTGTGTAAAAAAAATCTCATAACTCAAGAAATCTGTCGGAATAAGTTGCTAGATGGGATCCGTCCTGCACTTACCGACGAAGACCACCACCACCACCGCCACGATCACCGCCAGCACGATCACCACCACTACAACCACGCCAGCGCAACCGCCACCCCGACACCGGCGCCCCACCACCACCGCCACCAACACCACGACCGCGACTGCTATAACTGATATTTCTCCTCCTACTCCTCCTCCTGCAGCTGTAGTTCTACTCCTACTGCTACTGCTGCTCCTACTCCTGCTCCTACTCCTGCTCCGGCTACTACTGCCGCTAATGCTACGACCACTACGACCACCACCACCACCACCGCCACCACCACTACCACTACCACTACTACCACTATTACCACTACTACCACTACGACGACGACGACGGCGACGACGACGACGACTACTACTACTACTACTTCTCCTGCTGCTGCTGCTGCTGCTGCTGCTGCTGCTGCTGCTACTGCTACTGCCACTGTGACTTCTCCTGGAGCGATGGCCGACAACCACCCACACTAAGTGTCCTGAACCTGCTGCGCTATCTCACATTGGCGGCCCCATTCGTGCGTGTGCATCAAGAAGAAGATGGTGCCTCAGTTGATGCCGGACCGCAAACCTTGTGCAACCTCTTCAATCCGTGTTTAGGGTGCAGCTAAATCACAATACATGCAGGAGCTATCTAAAAAGAACGATAAAGCCACCAAAAAGGTATCATTCTCACCCGAGGCCTTACGAACCTTAAACCTATAGTATAATTAGTTATAAAGCCTAATTAACCGTATCGGAGCAGCCTGCGACTGCCATCGGCAACCAGCCGGAGTCAAGTAACTTCAGCAGGTTGGCGCTCCTGGCAGGGCTTCGGGCTTAGGGCCTACCCATGGGCCCCATAGTAGTTCCTTTTTGGGATTACCTTATAGGATTCTAAGGATCTCTATACCCATAGGCCCCATAGTAGTTCCTTTTTGGGGTTCATAAGTAGAAACCTGTAAAGTAATCCCAAAAAGGAACTACTATGGGGCCTATGGGTATAGAGATCCGGTAAGGGTTGCATCAGCCGGTGTACACTCCAGGGATTTAAAGCTTAGGCCTTTTAGGGTGTAGGGGTAGCACTCCTGATGCCGCAAAAAGCTAATCACGCTACTGTCGAAGAAGGCCGCGCAACACGGATCCGGATCTCTGCAGCACACAGCACATGCTGTTTTTGCTATACTGAACTTTCCCAGTCGACATTTATCTTGCTAGTACGATTTTGCAGGAAATACTGCTCCTGTCAAACTCCACACCTCCACCTTGAGGAGCTGAGAGACACACAGAAGACAAGTTACCTCTTGCAAGAAAACATCTGACGGCTGGGGATGTGCAACCTACACAGAAGCAGCCAGTGAAAGACTTATGAAGCGACACTGGCCGCTTTGATTTCTCCTTCTTTTAGGGTTTAGGGCTTAAGGGTTTAGGGCTGTGTGAGATCAGCATCCATGATGCAAGAGCAACACGGTGAGGCCACTCTTGGGTAAGTGACGGCCATCAGATGTTATCAGCGAAGTCACTGCGTACTACGGTTCTGTGGTCGTTTTGCAAGCCTCGATCCTCTCTGTTTCTACCCTACACCCTACGGAGCAGTCCAGAAGACGATGTCCACGGTGATCATCGGCAGTACAACCAAAAGAACCTTATCGCATCAGAGCCCGATCTTGCGGGCCTCAAGAGACTCCTCTTTATGGCTTCTACAGAGCTTAGGGTTTAGGAGCTTCAGGGGTTTATGGTTTAGGGTTTTGTCTGGCAGGTTCCGATGTCACCTACAACTAGTAATGTGCTTGCGTTTATATATACGGATGCATACGCACACTGTTGATTATCTTGCTTGTTAGACTATCTTGATATCTAGCTCTATATATATATATATATATGTGGGCATGTATATATATATATGTATATATACAGTTTTGTTCATATTATATAACACTCGAAAGAAGCATAAAATACCTGCAGATCAACACGCTCGTGGCAGCCCAGTCGCGACGCAAAGATTGCAACCCCAGACCTGGGAGGTGTGCAGGCTGGTTCCAGCGTGTCAGCCTGAAAAAATAGGCTAGAATAGGTATTCTGGGCATAGCATGCAACAAATCGAAAGGCCCCGACATATCTTCCAACATAGTACGTGTGAGCCTGCCACGGAATGCATTTCTTCGAACGTACAGTCCCCTTGAGGCTGTTGTTTATAGGGTGCAAATACCGAAAAAACCCTAATGAAGCCCTCCCTAAACCCTAAACCCTAAACTAAGCCCTGAATTCTGAACCTGAAACCGTGAATCGCAGATTTTGGATCTTGATCTTGACTCGTACACTTTCGTCAGTGATGCTTGAAGTACATGCGGCTCCGCACAACTGAAGTTTACGGAGTGCTGTGGTGCTTCCAGAGAGGGTTTCGGCAGGCTTCCGGGCCCAAGCAGTCCAAGAATCATCTCTTCGGAGCACCAGCCAGTTCTATACCTTACACCACCTTAACCTTCTTCTTGTAGGTTCTAATTAGTCTCCTTGTAGGGTGGCTGTCCCTGAAATACAGTTTCGTTCCTTACCCGAAACACTTCCGTTCGTTAAGACTCTAGTGGATTCCTGCGTAGTTAAGGCTTTGGGTGAATTTGCCTCAGAAACAGCAGCGACAAATAGCACGCCCTAACCCCGAAGACTCTGACAAAGAGCAGTCGGTGCCTTGAAAAGTAAACTTCATGTCGAAACGGACGTGGCGCCAGACTCTACACTGAAGGAAATACGCGGTTTAGGGTTTAGGGTTTACGGTTTAGGGTATGCAAGAGATTAACACAGTCGTCAGCAATTACTCAGTTAGCTTCACCTTTAGACCCGCACTGTTAGGTGAACATGGAGCCCTACCATTGATCTTGAACGAGATCTCTGAGACCGATCTCAAGGATTGCTGCGGAAGTGTGATGTACTCTTTGTTTCGTCGAGCTCAAACCCCCATTCGCACATAGAATCCTAACAAAGGGGACTCACGGGTCACTCCGCAACATTAGAGTAGTAGAACTTCACAACAGGGTATAAAGTAGAAAACACTCCACCGGCCTGGCCACATAAATCGCACTTTTCGGCACTCCGTTACTCCGCAAGCCGTCTTAAGACAAGAAAGGTCCAGTAGCTCAAAACTTCTGTCCTCTCGGTGTAGGGCTGGATGCCGAGAGGCTCGCCAAAGAACCCAAAAGAGCAGCAGTGTTGTGAAAATGAATGCACCAGTCACGGCGATGCCTGTCCGGCTGACATGGGCTTTTGGGTCCAGGCATCAGCTTCAGAACGACAAAGAGTTGCTCATTTCTAGTTCCTCTAAACCCTATAATTAAACCCTAAGCCCTGCACCGTAAACCCTAAACCCCGAAACCCTAGTTCCCCAAACCCCTAAACCCTAGTTGCCCTAGACCCTAAACCCCTAAACCCTAGTTCCCCTAAACACCAAACCCTAGACATGTCCAAACTCGAGGATGGAAGACAGGTCTGGCACAGCTCGAGGCCTTCGAGTAGGTGCTTCTCTTCTGGTTTCTACCTTATAACCCACCAGAACCTACTTTCTTGTAGGGTTAGGGTTTAGGGTTTAGGGTTCCCATAAATCCTATATTAGGGTTTTATATTAAGGACCTACCAAAAAGTGGGCTTTGGTTGGTTAACATGGGGGTGCTCTTAGCACGAGCACTTCGTGGTAGGTTTCAATCTCCATGATCTGAAAGTTTTTGATAGCCCCTGTTATTTGCTGACTGGGCTGACCCAATGTAATTAGTGGTACAGACTACAGTGACTACAGACACCCTGAGCCCTACCACTGAAACCTGAACCCCTAAACTCCAAACCCGAAACCACAAACGCTAAATCCGAAGCGCCCAAACCCTAAACTCGACACTTAAGTACCCTACATCTTCAGTGCTCCTCATTCTGATTTCCTTGTATGCATCCTCAGCATTGTAGGTTCTCCAGGCTCCAGGTAAACCCGAAATCCGAAGTCCAAGCCCGTCCCCTCACCGGGGACCCCTGAGACTTAGATCCTACTGTTGATGATAAGAGTCCTGCATCCTAAACCCTAAAACCCTAAATCCTGCATTAGTTAACTTACCTCACCAACAAGCCAGAAAAAATAAAAGGTTAAACTTTCAGATCACTAATGATCTATAAGAACCGAAACAAACTTGAAGGTTGGGTGTTCGGGGGCCTAAGTTCAGGGCCCTAAACTAGGGCAATTACGGTAGATTCTTTATTTGTGGGTACCCATGGGCCCCATACTAGTTCCTCTTTGGGATTCCCTAATAGGATCCTAAATATAAGCCCCCAAAAGGAACTACTGTGGTGCCCCCTAAACCCTAAACCCTAAGATGGGTAATGCAGGATTTATATTATCAGCCGTAGGGCTCTGAACCTTCGGAGCCGCACTGCACAAGACTTCAAGGGTTTCGGGTTCAGGGCTTCGGGTTTGACTTTTTTAAACTTTAGGATTTAGGCTTTGGGGTTTAGGGTTTTGGCTTTGGGGTTTAGGGTTTAGGATCAGCTGTTTTTGAGCTCTTGGACGTCGGGACCAGGCTGTAAGCTGGGAAGGAAGGCGGTAGGTGTGCCGGGGATGTAGGCCTCAAGTCCCCTCACAAGTACCGGCACAAGCTATAACTGCATATACTTGTAGAACCTGCTTTCGAGTCGAAGGTTCTGAGAACGGTTTATGCTTACATAGGCCTGCTGGACACAGCTACGAAATCTCAAACTCTCTTCTCTCTGCCATAGGCTTCTGAGTTAGGAGCTGATTATCAAGGTGCTGGTATTGGGCTGACAGTCTTCGTTAGAACACCCACAAAGCTTGAAGCCTGTACTTACCCCTATCGCCATGCACAGGGGACAGCGGGGAAGAGTGTCGACACACTCTTAAGAAATAACGTCTTCGAATGTTCTTAGCCGGGAATGTCATTTTCCGAACAACAAGCGGGACAAGGGCCTACCAAAAAAAGGCATGCTAAGCTTGAAGCCTGAAAAATGCTCTCAAGCCGCCGTAGGCGGCGACGAGGTTGTCTGAGGTTCGGAAGGCGAGGGTGACGATGATGCAGGCCTTTAGCATAATCTAGGGGCCCTAATAATTTGAATAGGGGTTTGGGGCCCATCAGACTATAAATCGAATAAGAAAGGCCCAAACTAGCATAGGTAATTATTATTATTATGGCCCCTACATTATTGCTTCGAACTAACGGCCCGAAGCTCCAGGGTAAATAAGAAGATCTTCCATGGGTCGGGCAGAAGGTGCGACACGAAGGATGACAGGATGAAGGGCCCCTCCGACTGAAGTATAGAAGCCCGGTTTCTTGTCGATGTCGATGTGTTAGGGTTTAGGGTTTAGGGTTTGGGGTTTAGGAAGGAAGTTCAGAGGAAACAGTTTCGAGGGGAATGCCTGCGACCACGAAACCTTACATGCCAGACGAGATGAAACCACGGTAGACCGCACATCCTCGGCCCTTAACCCATAATCCCTCAACTCTTATCCGCATCCCTAAACTACATTCAGCCAAACTCTAATCACTAATCCCCAAGCCCTGTTATCCCTAATCCCGAAAACCCCAAAGCATGGTCTTAAAAATAGATGTGCCGTGCATGGGCTACGTCTTCAGAGGGGACACTGTGCCGTTTGCTGTACACTTACTGACAATAAAGAAATTGTTGAACATGAAGGGTCCCTTGCCGGTGTGTCCCTAAACACTGAACCTGAAATCCTGGCATACGGCATATATAAGGGCCCCCGAGTACATAGCAGTGAGTTTTCCTCAGCCATGATCATGTGACGGTACTTTCCTGCCTAAGCTGGCGGTTAGGGCTTTGAAGCGCACCAATGGTACAGAAACCATTAAACAGAAAACGCTTCAGACACTCGACTTGACAGTGCTAAATCTCGAAACCTTCCCCTAAAGACTTGGATTTAGGGTTTAGGGTCTAGGACTTGGTTGAGCTTACCATTTGGGTGCAATGCTGCCAAGCTGAGCCACGGTCATCAGAATCCAGTTGACTTCGGGAATGTAGACCTGCATCCGCGCCCGGCCCAAGAAAAAGCAACAGCGCAGCTACCACTATCCTTCGACTTACGAAGGCGCCTGATCTTAAACCTAAGACTCAAGGAGCCTAAGCTTTGAAACCCTATACTTTCCCTAACTTACTGAAGCCCTAAAGCCTAACTTCAAATGCGAGATCGCCGAACTGTGGAATCACAATCCTAGACGCACGCCTTGCTTGCTTCCCCGATCACCGATGCCTTGGGGTTCTTTGAGTTGAAGAAAACTACAGGTTACAAGGCTTAAGGTATATAGACCTTCTATGAGGCTCCTATAATGGTAACTACCTACCTTAAAGTGTCCTAGATTGAGGTCTTTCGGACAGAGGTTTAGGGTTTAGCGCTTGGGGTTTCGGGAGGTGACTATGTCAAGTGCTTTTTGGGTTTGCAGGGCTGACTAAATGTCTTGGGGCTGTGGAAGCAGTGGATGGATACATTATGCATCTCCCGCGTGCGGACAGTGCCTGCCCCTTCTCATCAGGGTTCGTGTGCAGGACAAGAAGTCGCGGCACCTGAGAGATAGTGTTCTGCCAGCGGGAGAATCGCAAGACGTCTCGAACAGGACATCTCTTCAGAGCTTGCCAAACCTGACGTATACTTAAATTTACAGGCGAAGGTGCGAGTCCGAGAGCATGCGCCTGCGACATCAGTGTGAAGATGCCTGTCAACAACTGCTCAAGGCCACACGCAGCTTTACGACTGCTTTTAGGGATATACTAAAGCCTAACTAAACTACGACTCCAGTGTACATGTTAGGGGTGAGGGGTATGACAAGTTTCATCGCGGGAGACTCTGGCCCTCATTTCCCCGGCCCGAAACCTGATTGAAACCCTCAGGAACTCAACCCTGAACCCTAAACTAAACCCTCAACCCTGAACTAGACCCTAAACCCTAAACCCCAAACCCCTGAACCCCTAAACCCTAAACCATAAACTAGACCCTGGCCCTAAACCCTAAACCCCTGGACCCCTAGAGCCCTAGACCCCTAGACCCCTAGACCCCTAAACCCCTAAACCCCTACACTCGTAAACCCGTAAACCGTAAACCCCAAACTAGACCCTAAACCATAAACCCTAA